CTTCCCATTCATCACTGTTTTCATCTATTTCACAGAGGAATGATTGCTCAGCATCCATCGCATAATCTTGATGCCATGCTGGTGGTTTTCTCTGTCTTTTTATACTATTAGTCGTTGCTTCGACTTCATTATCTGTACACATGTCATTATTTATTTCGTCTATTTCTGTAGTTGCATCTAGGAATAATTCATCATTGTTAAATTCATGTTTAGACTCATTTCCTTCATTTTCTATTAACTTATCATTGTTTTCTTTATTATGTTTTTCTGGAAAAAATATAACTTCTATTTCCTTTTTATCAATTTCTTTTTGTTTTTCTTATTCTTTCATCTCGTTCTCATAAAACATTTTATCTAATACTTTAACATCTCTGCTGATTATCACCTTGTCTGTTTTCGGGTTGAATATCCGGTACGCCTTATGATTTTCGGAATATCCGATGAAAATTCCAGCTGTTGCTCTGGCTTTAAATTTTCCATTTTTCTTTCCTTTATTTAATACGAATGCTTTAGCCCCAAATATGAGAAAATGCCTCACAGATGGTACTTTCTTTACCCATTTTTCAAATGGAGTCGCATTATCAATGCTACTGCAAGGACTTCGATTCGCCAAGTAGTTAGCTGTACTAATTGCTTCAGCCCAAAAATCTTCTTTCATATTAGCGTCTATCAGCATGCATCTAGCTTTATCAAGCAATGTTCTATTTTTTCTTTCTGCTAATCCATTTTGTTCTGGCGTATATGGTGCGGAAAGTCTCCTCTTGATACCTTTGTCTTTTAAGTAATTATCAAATCTTTTGTTTATATACTCTGTCCCATTATCACTTTGCAAATATATTATTTTATTTTTCGTAAATCGTTCAGCCTCGTTTTTAAATTCTATAAATTTTGATAGGGCTTCATCTTTAGTTTTCATTGTATATACTCGTGTATATCTCGAATTATCATCTGTGAATGTGATGAAATATTTTGAACCTCCCTTAGATGGCTGTCTCATGGGACCACATACATCAGTATGTACAATTTCTAATCTATGATTTGTCCGTAGCTCATTTTTACATGTATTAAACGGCAGTTTTTTTGCCTTACCTTTAGCACAGACTATACAATCTCTAACTGTATCAGATTTATTAAATTCTAAGCCTTCCATACTTTTCTTATCAAGAGCTATTCTCATTTGCCTCTCATTAAGGTGTGCTAGTTTTCTATGCCATAGTTGCATTTTATTTGTTCCACAATAGTTGGATTTCTCTTCTAAATTTTCTTTAACGTAGTATAAACCATCTTCATTTCTTTCTGCTTTTTCTCAGCAGTCAGAATTTGACCATTTCGCATTACGGTTGCTTGTTGCTTCTTAAATAAAACTGTTGCACCTTTATCTGTCATTTTTCCTACTGACATAAGATTTGTAGTCAGCGACGGTACATACAAGGCTTCAGTCAGTTGTAGACCAGGTATTTCCTTTATGTTCAGTTTCACTGAACCTCGACCTTCAATTTGTGCTGTACAGTTCTCTGAAGCTAACCTTATAGTTTTATAGTCTTCTTTTTCTACATTATGGAATCTTTCCAATTCATGACTCATATGTGACGTGCATCCACTATCAAGACACCATTTTCTGGCTTTTTCTTTATTATTATTAGCATTTAGACATGTTTCAATGGAATAATTCGCACTGCTCGTTTTGTTCACTTTTGACCAGCATTCATTCGCTTTATGCCCCTTTTTATGACATTTGTAGCATTTAGTTATATATTTCTTATTTTTTCTTTGCTGCTTGCTGTACAGTACCTCTTGTTCTGAGTTCCCATCAGTTGTAGTAGCCATATTTTTTCGTGCTTCAGCTTCCTCAATGATTTTTATTTTCAGGCTATCTGGATTTGGTAAATCATCTCTAGATTCTATGGCTATGCGAAAATTTTCAAAAGATTGTGGTAAACTATATAGCAGTATTATACTTAATAAATCTTTATTAATTATTATCATTTTTCTTAATATCAACTCTTTTAACAGGGTTGCTTTTCTAGCGGGACCTTTACTATCTTTATATATATAATTCTTCTGTGAGTGTGTATGTCACTGAACTTCTCTCAAACGACTGGACCGATTTTGATGAAATTTTTTGTGTGTGTTCAAGGGGATCTGGGAATGGTTTAGATTCACAATTTGAATAATAATTTTCATCAAAAAAATTATTAAAAAATGTTTGAAATTTTCTAATTAAAGATGTGTAAACAGGACAACGTCTGTCGGATCCGCTAGTTATATATATTTTCAAGCGTATCCCAGACTTCTTTACTTGTTTGACAATTTTTTACTTGTTTTAGTTCGCTTGGAGATATTATAAAAAATAATTCAGCTAATGCTAACCCATCTTTTTCTATATATTGGCTCAGTTCGTCGCTTTCGCTTATTGGCTTCTTAATTTTAATAGAAACATAGTTCCAAAGACCAAGTTTCAACAACAGAGCTTTTGCATGAATTCTCCATGTATCGTAATTTTCTCTTTTTAATGGCTCTATGTGCACATGATGGCTCATCTTTCTCTTTTTCAATATACGATTTCTCGCGTTTACGCGCTGCCCATAACCTTTTATAGAGAGTAGTTTTATCGCAGTGGAGTTATCTTTAATAAAATCTCTTTTAAATCCCTTTTAAATAAGCATAGTTTTATTTATTTCAATTTACAATTTATTAACACAACCTGACACATTTTTTTTTACCGACATCTGTCAAAATTATATTCGTATATTTAAATTTTATTGCAAGACAGTATTCTCTATGACAATTATTATAGGCCAACAGAATGTTGCCATCAATGCCATCGTAATTATATAATTCAATTTAAAAAATAATTATTATTTGACACATTATTATTACTTCTTTAATTTATTTATTTTAATTTATTATAATAAATACAGATATTTTTAAATAAAATTAAATCTAAGAAAGTATTAAATACAGATATTTTAAATTAAAAGATGTAAAATATGATGACTATGCTAATCAATGTCTAAAATGTCATTCATTCGTTCATCAATATATGTATTTTATCGATTACGTTCAAGCACTAGAAATATTGTATTGTGTATCAGTGTTTATAATAATGTAATAAAATCTTTGTTTGCGTTATGCGTCACTTGGTTGAACTAGTTTTCATACATTTGTATTTTATGTCAGGTCTAATTCGTTCATGGTATGTACATATGTATGTATGTATATGTGTGTAAGTATGTATGCACATATATATTTGTTTGTCTATGTATGTATTCATTTGTAGATCTCTTTAAGATTGTGTACACCCCTTTCTTCTCTTTTTCTTTCTCTTTACCTAAAGGTTGCCTAGAACAGATCGCTCTCTAGCGATGAGGCCAGTTGTTGTACTATTTCTCTTTAATCTGTTTCAACTATGTAATGTAAAATAACGTGTGCAATAAAGAAAGATAGCACGGTGATTCTTTTGTGCTTATAACGTTTATTTAGTCCGATCGATTCAAATAAAAATAAATTTACTGGGACATTTATAGGTAAAAAGAACTAAGACGTGTAAAAAAACAATAAAAATGGAAAAAAAGTCGTCTTCAGCCCGGGTATAGATCTAGAGCTAGCTGGAAAATAATAATATAAATCACAGCAAATTAGAGTAAAGGCAGACGATTTCGGGAGCGCTTCAAAGCTGCCAAGGCACGCTTAGTAAGCGAATCCGACTCCGCGAGCACCTCTACTGTTTCCATTGATTTATTATTCACCGAATATTTAGAACGAAATCAATCTTGTTTTCATTTTGGTCTATAGTACTAAAAGCAACCCGCTGACATATAAACATTCCAAGTTAAATTAACGGCCGTGTGCCCCAACATAGCCCTACACAATTTTATATTATTATTGAAGTTATATTTCTTTGGCACATTTCAAAAATACCGACAGCCAAAAAGCGACATGATGAAGTTAGCTGCATTCCTTTTACAAACAGAGAGTTGTAACATACGGGATGAAATCTTTAACTATTTTTGGTCTGTTACGCCAAAAAAGTATAACTTCTTACGTGCGTACATAAGTACGAGTATGTACACGCACACGTTTTCTTTATAATTGTAATAACACCTCGAGGTAAATTTCTAAGAAATCAATTAAATTTCTAAGAAATCTATTGTTAACCGTAACGCCGGCGTGTCCGCGGTCGTGGAGGGAATAAGATAAACCGAACCGTTACAGCTAATATAAGCTCAACATCCATCATGCTTGCTCCTTCGATACACACAAGCTTACTCGCAAACGTGTGGTTATGTGTCTCTTCAATTTTAACCAAACGTTTATGGCTTAAAGTTCGTGGGTGTGTACCTAACTTTTGCGTAACATTTAATAAAGAGCTTTGATTAAATATTGCTTCTATTTTAATTAACAATAATTTCTATTTTAAAAATACAGTTTAATACCTCTAACTTCTAAGTATAATTTACTCATTATTTAATCTATAATACTAAAGTTATATTGATTAACATCAGAAATTATAATTTATATCATGGATGACTAATAAAAATTTATATTAATATAATGTAGGTTATATGTTAAATATTAAATATTCAATTTAAATCTATTTATGTACATTAGGTATGAAAAAATAAGGCATTGTTCGCATACGTTTTAATCTATCACTGTTTATAAAAATATATTTTATCTATATTTGGCTAAACCATTTACACAATCTGTATTTAACAAAAAAATGTGTCTGTCCATTGCATTGCATTGCAAATGCAAGTTAGTATTTTCGTTGTTCCGTGTTCGTAGTATTTAATAAAAATTTCAAAACAATATATTTTAAACGTTTATGCATTTTTTTATTGTCATGAGTGTAATTACGGTATATAGTGGTTTAAATGATTTAAACGTTACATTAAGTGATTCATCCTTAGATTAGTATTATGATAAGTCGATATTAATTCAGTTTATGTTTGTGATTGTATATTACTCCGATAATGATTAGTTAGGACTAATGTGGTATGGCACTTGTAACAATTCGACGCACCCCGAGTGTTCCAACACCAAAGAAAACGGTGAGTAACAATAACGGATGTAAAAGTTAGGTCAATAATTTAGAACCAAAACTATTAACTAAAATCAGGACTAAAATATGATAGCTTCATTGTTTTGAATCTCTCAATTTTTACTTATAAATAGAATTTGGCCAACATTTATTTCAATTTTATAACAATTATGATGTGTTTTCATTACTATTATAAAATTATCTTGTTGCCTTAAACTTAATAGTAAATAATAAAAATAATTTTTTTACCTTTGAATAAACTTGATACTTTATCTACTTTTATAATAATAAAATATTTTTATAATTCAAAAATTTTTTTCTGACTGGCTTTACATAATATAGGCTCTTCTGGGTTTTTATTAAAGATAAAAATTGAAAAGGTATTTGAAACTATGTTGTTGTCATCTTAGTTGCCAACAATATTCCTGAAGTTTTCAATGCTACTAAATAGTTTAAACACTTGAAAGCATATTGGCAATCAGTATAGTCTAGGAACTCTTTATGTAGAAACAAACTAGTAAGTAGTGCTATTTCATGGTTGATGCTTCTCAATGATTCTATAATAGAGAAGTAATGAATCTGAGAATATTAAAACTTTTAGTAGCTTATTATGTTTCAAAAGGATGTCACAGTAAGGAAAGCCTCCTCCCCCATAAGTGTGAACATATTTTTTGAATGGCAGTAAGATTTTAAGTTAGGGTTTAAGAGATCTGCTAAATTTCTTTATAGGGTTCAGATACTAAACATCTTATCAGCTTGATCTTCCACCACCACTACTAAATTATGAAATACATAGAATTATGAAGAACTAGAAAACAGGCTGCTTTATTTGAAACAAAGGAGTGCTAGTGAAACTACTCCAAAAGTTAATTGTATCACTAGTCCTTTTATGTATTGAAATATGAAATGTGTAGTGGACTCGTTTTCCGCACTTAGACTCCCTTGTGGTCCGTTGTGCGCGCGAATCCTGGCTATATTAGCCAGCCGAGCTCCGCCCAGAAGCGCAGAAGTCTCCTGGGAACTTCACAGGCTTCGCGGAGCGACCTCACTGGTCCGAGGATTTCTTTACGTTGGGAAGTTACCGCTACGCATTCCAGGATTACGTGGGCAACTGATTCTTCAGCGCCAAGGCACCCTCTGCAACAGAGGGGTGTCCGTTGCGCCGATGTTATATAAATGTTTGTTCAAGGGACAGTGGCCCGTTATCGTCCCTATCATTATTTTAAGATTTGTTCTATTGAGGTTTAGTAGGCGTTTTGTTAGTCGTGTGTTTACTGCAGGCAGAGCTGATCTAGATTGTCTGCAGTCTGCAGTTTGCGACCATCTGTTGTTTTGTAACGTCGTGGATCTTTGGCGTATCCAGGTGCGAATCTGTGCAAAGGGCATGGGGAGAAGCCGGTATGGGCCAGTCACTTCTAGTTTTGAGCCCCTCTTTGCAAGTTCATCAGCTGCATCGTTGCCAAGTGAGCCACTGTGTGCCCTGATCCATTGAAGGGTGACTTGATTTGTTGTTGATATCAAGTCCAGGGTGTTGTGACATTCAATTATTAGTTTGTTGTTGGTTTGTTTGTTATTTAGCGCCTGCAGAACTGCCGCACTGTCGGAGAGTATTTTTATATTGTAGTTGTTTACCCCACGACTGTGCACGGTTCTTGCGGCTTGCATTATGGCTACACATTGCCTTTTATGTATTATTAGAACACTAATCCCTGGATAAAGAACATTTCCCCATAATGCCATGATTTCAATCAGCTTGTTACCCGTAATTTCTAAATTGTTTTGAAAAATCCTTTTAAGAAGGTTATCAAGGGTAGAGATAGATCCAGAGGTTATGAATGTAACTTGGTTAGGAATTAGAATTGGCCTTACTTTATACATTTAAGTCTTGACTTATCTTTTATACTTATTATCTAGAAATTATATTTGTATCAGAGAATAATACTTAAAAATTGAGAATAATATTGGTGTTCTATGACATGGTTGCTATGGATCTGTATTAGGTCCTGTTCTATACATGATAATTAAATCCAAGCTACCTTAGAAGTTGAGTGTAACTATTAACCACTTAAGTTCACAATGCAAAATTGGCTGTGTATGAATGTCATCAAGAAACTCCTGAAACTTAAAAATTAAGTTAATTGGAGTAAGAGTTAAATAAAAAACTTAGTGCAACAATATCACTGTATATTTAAACACTTAGAAAATATATGTCTACTAAATTAAAACAGACTACTATGTATTATAAATATTCAAGTTTGTGTGTATGTGTTGTTTACTCCTTTATGCTGAAATGATTGGATCGATTTTGATAAAATTTAGTACATATAGTCAGACATTTTTGTTTTTTTTTTTTACATTTGGAAATGCATTTACATATACCACCTGAATAGATACAGCATAAACAAAACAGCACCCAAAATTTTGTCATACTGTTATATGTTGTTAATTGTATAAAGGAATGCTTAGATTGCTGACTAAACCCCCTTTGGGATTTAGTGTAATATCTCTTTAGCTAGCTCAGTTCTAGCAGCTCAGTTCTAATCCAACATTCGACTCGTTCTCATCTTCTAAATCCTATTTCAAGTGTATAATTTTCATATTTCTATTTCAAATGTTTTAATTTCTATTTCAAATGTTTTTAGTTAAAATAAACAATTTCTGTGCAACAAGTTATAATACAACCCAAAAAAATATTAATCATCAGAATTACTCGAAACTTGGCATTAATGCTCTTAAATACAATTAAAAAAATACGTATTTTAGCATTTGTCGAAATTAATCCCATATTAAGGGGGTAAAATAGGGGATGAAAATCTGTATAAAAACTACCTTGTTAGTTTTTTTTGTAGTTTTAGCGCGATCGAAGCCGCGGGTTCTGCTTGTGTAAAATAATTATAGTCGTGACGTTCTTACGACGTTCGCAGTCAGAACTCATTCTAAGATGAAATACAGGAAAAAGAATCTTGAACTTTTGTGATTGAAATTCTTATCTATTCGATTTTTTGTCACCTTTTTGTTTCTTGATAATTGATAAATCTTTATCTAACTTTGTATTACGAAGTACCATGTTATGATTTGCAGATTAATTTAACCATATTCAGTCATTTATTTTGTGGAATATAAATATGGTTTTGATCTCTACTTATATATCAATCAGATATTACTATCGAGAACCTAGATAGATATTAATATACGATGCCTTATATGGGCATGATACGGTACGGTAGTAGGTATAACTAAAAATGCTTAGAAGTTTATTTGAAAAACAAAATGTTTTCAGGAGATTTTTTTTTTTAATTTTGTTGATGACGAATCGCAAGTTCGTTTTCCATTAGTTTGATTATAAGTTCAGACTCTTTAGATATTTTTAATAATTGCATATTTTAGTGCATGATTTGTAAGAGTTGACTCGTGTAATTTAGTTAAAAGAATATCTAAGTCTTGGTTTCACCACCGTAAATAATGGTTTCAGATGAAATATCCTTCTAATTATATAGTCTAGTCAACAAGTTCAAAAACGTGTTAAATAGAAATAAAGCTCCTAAAAATATGATAGCTCATTCGATTCGGAATGACATCTAGAAAAATGTTTTTAAGGGTTTATTAGCACATAAAAAATTGCGATTGTTATTAAAAAATAAGACAAAAAAAAGGTATTTCGTTTTTCGTTAATAACTTTTAAAATAATGATATTTAAGGAATTTTGAAAAAAGATCCTGAAAGAGGAGGAAACTCCCAGAACTCTATCTCGATTATTTAAAAAAAAATTAACGCTGAAAATAGGGCTCCGCGAAGTCGTTACGGTATAAGCGCGCCGTTTAAAAAGCCGGTATATCACCTAAAATCATCATGTTTGCGCGGCAGGAGCCCCACATAACCCGTCTCGCTTCCCCCATTGGCGAGCGGGTACCTGGGAACACGGTTTTTCCTGAAAGAAAGAAAAAAGAAAAAAAAAAGTCGTTATAAAGGGCCAGATTTAGGGGTGTGGAGGCCCTGGGGCAACAGAGGAGTGGAGGCCCCTAATTATATTTTTCGAATAAAATAATCAATTTTTTTAGTCAAGTGTTTCAAGTATTTATTGCGATATAAATTAAGTTGTATCAATAAACAAGTTGCAAATACAAGAATTATTCAAATATAGCGTTTTAAATTATAGCGTTAATGAATGGAACCTTGCGAGCTTTTTTCGACAAAAAATCGTTGAGATTTCGCGAACATTAGTGCCTTTTTATCATGGACTAGCGGCTCACCCTCGCTTCGCTCGGGTTCGTCTCTAGAAAAACACAAACAGATCTATCCCACGGGAACCGTTCATTTTTCCAGGATGAAAAGTAACCTGTTGTTTTACCATTTTACTAAATTAGGTGCATAAGTTGTTGTGTACAACATCTTTATATATATAATTCTTCTGTGAGTGTGTATGTCACTGAACTTCTCTCAAACGACTGGACCTATTTTGATGAAATTTTTTGTGTGTGTTCAAGGGGATCTGAGAATGGTTTAGATTCACAATTTGAATAATAATTTTCATCAAAATGGTCCAGAATGTTTTAGCTTATTAAAAAAAGTTTGAAATTTTCAAATTAAAGACGTGTAGACAGGACAACGTCTGTCGGGTCAGCTAGTAGCTGTATAAGTTACTATAGTATTTTAACTATCCCACGGAAACTCTTTAATTTTCCGGGATGAAAAGTGTCTAAGATGTTGCCCGGGGATATAAGATACCACCATGCAAAATTTCATTTAAATCGGTTCAATAGATTCGGAGATTAGCCCGTACAAACAGAAAAACAAACAGCTCGCTCGGGTTCGTCCTTACCTACGAATATGTTGTATTATCTCTTTAACCATTTGTCCATATTATATGCAGTAAAAGGGAAAAGTCTTTTTAAATAAAACTATCTTTTCGGATTATTTCGCGGATTTATTTTGATTTTTGGTTCCCGACGTTTCGAAAGCCTCACAGCATCCATGGTCACGGGAGAGACTGAGGTGTTACATGTCTTGAAG